AAGACTTTTTTGGGTATTTTATTATTGTAGTAAAAATACACAACATAGAATTTACCATGTTAACCATTTTTAAGTGTATAATTCAATGGCATTAAGTACTTTCAAAATGTTGTGCAACCATCACTGCTATATATTTCCAAAACTTTTCGTCACCACAGACAGAAGCTCTGTGCCTATTAAGCAATAGCTCCCCAGGCCCCTTCCCGTTGGGTCTTTACAACCTCTAATCCACTTTCTGGCTCTGTGAATTTGCCTATTCTGGGTACTTCGTATAAGGGGAATCATATAATATCTGTCCTTTGTTTCATCAAAAACTTTACCAAGAGTTGTTCATGGTATTGGAAAATTACCATCACCAGTGACAAGGCCATGCGTGGTATTTAATCATCAATAAAATTTACATCCATCAGTCTGTTTGTAACTGCTACATAGAACATGGCTGCAAGCATTTGATGCTTTAATGTTTTCTACTGTAATTATGTCTGAACATTCACATATTGAAATATGTATTATTTTATTATGTTTTACATTCCTTTTTATTCCCAAGTTACGGCATTTTGTTTTCTTTTAAATTATGTATCAGTAGCTTAAATAAGCTATTAATTTCATTTTAGGTTAGTAATGGGAGTATTACAAAATATTTATTATAAAAAGGAGCATTGGGCCTCGTGGGGCTGAGAATCAGTGGTTTATCTCCCTTAGTCACTGATGATGACCAGGCGCCAGGGAACATCTCCCTGGAGGCGAGGGGCTGTTGACCAACCTTGAATGCCGCCTGTGCCTACAACCTTACACAGCCGGCCTCACCCCTCCGACAGGAAATCCTCAAACCACTGAACCGGTGGCTCTTTGGCCACCACTACCTGACGACTGTGGTCTGGCCAGTGCGGCCAGGTAGGGATTTCTGCTCCTGTCCCCAATGTCGGCCATTGCAGTTACTATTGTTCCTAGCTTCAATGATGGGCTCAGGCATCCTAAACAAATTGAGATCAGATCACTTCAAGGCAATCACCTAAAACTGAAGCTGTATTTTTAGCATTCAGCAAAATGAGTGATTCTAGCACAAGTCCTGGGCATCTCACCAACGGGATTTTGGGGTGACACTCTGTTCACATTCTTGCTTCAGACTGACCTGCATCTGGCTGGGAGCACTCAGATACCAGATTTTTTCTAAATGAAAAGGCTGGAAGTATTATAGATATTGTTTCCTAACCAACTGCCCCTTTATTATTCACACTTCCTTAGATCAGCCCCAAAATCTTTCTTGAGAGTGTATAATATCACAAGATTTTAAATGGGCTCGAATTTGGTTGCTAAAATCAATTATAAAATTCATCATTATATAAATAAACACAAACGAATAAATATATAAAATGTGGGGCCTTGGAGTGTGTCTGCTGTAGCACTGTGAGAAGAATGTAACGTGACCCCTGGATAATATAGTCTTTACATTCCGTCTTTATGTCAATATTACATCACTCAAATGCTTTCCAGCTCTGTGCTTGGAGCTGATGCCTCGCAGATGAAGAAGATCTTTGGCCTCAAGAAGTTTGAAGCCTCACACGAGAGGCTGACTAGCAAACAAAAGATGGTAATGCAGTGTGATGGATGTTTTCTCAGAAGTGTGGACCACAGAGGGAAGGAGTGGCCTCACTGGCTCAGAAAAGGAGGTCTGGGGAGGCTACATGGAGTGGGGAGCATAAGGCAATTTACACACTCACACACACACACACACACACACGTCAGTCTACTCAAGTTCTGTAAGAAGTACCCAGTTGAACCCCCTGTGAACACTCTGTCATAAGACATGAAAGAGATGGTTTGAGGCAGAGAAATGTCAAGGCTGAGTACCTACTGTGAACAGATCTGAGTCAATTTGGTTGCCTGCAATTCTGAGTCTCTTTGATAGAGCTCAGTAGCCTCAAAAATTACAGGTAATGGGGGGCTACAGGTGTCTTCCCTTCCACCTTGCTGTCAAGTGGTATGCTTCCAGGAAAATTTGTATCACACTGAATTCTGCTATATATATATCAACGTTTATTAGCAAGGAACACAGATAGAGTCATATAATCATTTAGTTTGTAAATTTGATGAAGTTGTAGCTCTCTGTCCTTTCCTACATAGCAATAAGTACCTTAATGAAGTTTACTTGAGGCAAATGGAATGCTATTTGAGTCACGTTTCAACCTATGTTCTAGTTGGACGAGGAGACAGAATCCCCTGCTAATGGCCTGTCCCAGATCTAACAGTTCTAAGCCCAGGGTGCCACTCCGGGGAGTATAGACTCCTGGGCTGGCCGAATTCTTATATCCTGTTCATGCAAAGGTGGAGGCACCCTTCCAATATATTGAACCAATCTGTAGATCTTGAATATCACACACTTCATCAATTAAAAATAATTTTAACATCACCATGCTGGTTAATAAATCCTCTAGTATTGAGACAAATTAACAAAAAATAGTTGCAGTAGCTGCCACAGGTGTATGGTCTTCTGGTTCTTGCCTGTGGTGACCAACACACCTGGAGGGTGCAGTCGTGACTGGGTACTTCAGATGCTTTCTCACCACTCCTGGGACGTAGAATAAAACCAACTAACACACATATATAGCACACTTTCCATACTAAAATGGTTTAAAGTAGGTAGAACAGCTCTCAGACCATAAAAGAGCCTGGTTGAAACTCCTGAAGAGCATCTGATTGAGGGGGAACCCATTGCGATGTGCCCACAGGAATTACCTCCACCCCCATTTAGTGGGATGAGTTAACCTACTGTCTGATGTAATAGCTAAACTCTAGTGAATGTGGGGTACACGTTGATTGATGCATTGGCTCTTTTACCTTTTTATTTTAAAATAATTATAGATTCACAGGAAGTGGCAAAGATTTTATAGAAAGGTTCCAGTTACCCTTCACCTAGTTTCCTCCAATAGTTACTTTTTTTTTTTTTGGTGAGGAAGGTCAGCCCTGAACTACCATCTGTTGCCTATCTTCCTCTTTTGCTTGAGGAAGATTGTCCCTGAGCTAACATCTGTGCCAATCTTCCTCTATTTCATATGTGGGATGCCACCACAGCATGGCTTGATGAATGGCGTGTAGGTCTGTGCCTGGGATCTGAACCCATGAACCCTGGGCCACTGAAGCGGAGTGTGTGAACTTCACCTCTACACCGCTGGGCTGTCCCTAGTTACATTTCTTTAAGTTAAATATTTTTTTAATTTGTATTTTTAATTGTGGTAAAATGTGCAAATTTACCATCTGAGTCATTTTTAAGTGCATAGTTGAGTGTGAAGTACATTCCCATAGTTTTGTACCCAATCCCCAGAACTCTTTATCTTGCAAACTGAAACTCCGTACCCATGCCCCTCCCCGCAGTCCCTGGCAGCCACCATTCTACTGTCTGTCTCTATGAATCTGACGGCTTTAGGTACCTCCTGTGAGTGAAATCATACAGCGTTTGTCTTTTTTGTGGCCCCAATGGTTGCCTCTTACATCAGTGTAGTACAGAATAAAAACCAAGAAATTAACATTGGTACAATGTGTGTACATAGTTCTGTGTTGTTTTATCACACGTGGAGATTCCTGTCAATGCTACCACAGTCAAGACACAGACCTGTCCTCCACGACTCAGTGAAGACCTGTTCCACGGCCACCATAAAGGAATAACACGAGCGGTGGCATCTTGTGCTGCCCCTTTGCAGTCATCCTCTCCCCACCATCTCCAGCTTTTGGCAACCAGTCATGTGTTTTCTATTTCTATGATTCTACCATTTTGAGAATGTTAGATACACGTGTCAAATGACAAAACTCTAACAATTTAGTAACAAGTTTGCTGTCCTTTATTTGAGGCAAAACAATTCACGGATTGGGGGAGTACAGGGCCTCACAAGCAGTAGAGCACTGTTCTCGAGGGATCTGGGGCAGAGGGAGTCTTGTAGAGAAAGTTAGATGAGGAAATATGGAAACAGGGCCTGACTGGCTAGGAGGGAGGGCATTTCCTTGGGAGACTGACAGATCCTGTTTTCTAAGGGACAGCAAGCTAGCCAAAGCTGAGCTGGTGGATTGTGACTGGTGTATGTCAGGTCTCCTTGACAGCGTTTCCCGTAAATGAAGGCTGACTTAGGTTTAGATTTGTGACATGCGCCAGGCCACTGGGCTGGCCTCCATTTTGTGGGTCCCAATGTGCAAATTAACTTTATCACATGGGCTCATACAGCAGAATACACAGATCTTCATCTCATGTTGTAATTATAATAATCAAGCCCATGTTCCAGCTTGGGAAGCAAGTTCAGTTGTTTTTAAGGCTGCTTCTGGTTCTTAGTAATAAACAGACATCACCAGCAGGACGGAAGTCTCTGTTTGCTGTGGCTGCAGCCATGCACACAGTTCAGCTAACCGGCTGTGTCTTGTTTAAAAGTAAACTTAAAAACACCCAAGACGTTAAGACAGTCCCGTTACCCTTTGGATTTGTCTGTCAGAACAAAGAGTCGCCTCTGTCCCGATGCTGGCAGGCACGAGGCTCTGAGTGAGTTCTCCGCCTGCAGATTGATGAAGATCTGCTCCTTGACCAAACCCAGCCGGGCTCCTCTGAGCCCGCTTCCTGACTAGGCCTCAACCTTGGCCCATAAAGACGTGAACAAATGCTAGCATACTTTCTAACAGCTCAAGGCCACATTCCCCAGAATGATCCTGGTCCCCCTTAAAGTCTGAGAGAATTTAAAGCTTGAGAAAACTCAAGACTGCTATGATACTGTGATTTATAGTAAGAAATGAATATTTGCTTTTCTAGTCCTGGCACAGAGCTCCTAAAATCCTTGGATCTTGGAAAGTGTTGAGAACAATCAAGGTGTCTTTTGTTATGTTAATGAGGTGACCTTTGGAAAGCCCCTGGGTGACCTAAGTGGGGGGCGGCTGGTTGCCAATGGAGCCGACTATGAGATCAGAAGGTCGGGTTGGAATTTTCAGTCACACCCTGCCTCGTAGGAGGGGAGAGGGCTGGAGATTGAGTTCAACTACCAGTGGCCAATGATTTAATCAAACGTGCCCATGTAATGAAGCCTCCATAAAACCCCAAAAGGACAAGGTTCAGAGAGCTTCTGGATTGGTGGACACATGGACATCTGGGGAGAGCACTGTGCTTGGAGACAGCAAGCCTTCCTTCCCCGATATCTTGCCCTATGCATCTCTTCCATAGGGCTGTGCTTGAGTTATATCTTTTTACAACAAATTGGTGATCTAGTAAGTAAAATATTTCTCTGAATTCTGTGAGCCGTTCTAGCAAATTAATTAAACCCAAGCAGAGGGTGGTTGGAACTTCCAATCTACAGTCAGTTGGTCAGAAGCCCAGGTGACAACCTAGACTTGCCACTGGCATCTGAAGTGGGGCAGGGGGGAGCAGTCTTGTAGGACAAAGCCCTTAACCTGTGGGATCTGACACTATCTCCAGGTAGACAGTGTCAGAATTGAGTTAAATTGCAGGACACCCAGACAGTGTCAGAGAATTGCTTGGTGTGGGGAAAGACCCCACATGTTGGAAATGAGTGCAGAACCTTCACTGCTGAGAAAACTTACTGTTTGTTCCAGCCAACACCTGAAGACAGGGCCCCTGTGGGAGGGGAGGACCCTAGCTTGGAGAAGCCCCAGGTAGCAAACCCAGAGAGCTTTCACAGGGACCAACCTCCTTCCCCTTTTTGTAATTTTTCACTTTCCTGACCCTGCTGAGCCCCGACTCACTGCCCTCCCCATCCCCTCATTCCTCCTTGAAAACGTCCCGTCCCGTGACCTCTGGACAAATCAGAGTTCATTCACTTAGTTCAGTTCACGCTGTGCTTTTTCCCTCCTGCAATAGGATATATATCACCAATTACGATCGGTCCTCACCGCTTCAGCCTGGCTTGGTTTATCTTCACACTGGAAAGATCATTTGGCTTGCCCATCTCTTTTCAAGCAGCAATTTGTTAAAAAAAAAAATCAGTGAATACAGCACAAAACTGTAGGCGGTCTTGGCCATCTCTCAGTCCTATCAAACATTGTGAAAATGATCAGCAGGGCAAGAGTTGCATCTGAAACCTACTTGAATCCTCTGACAAGACTCTATGAGAAACGATTCAATCCAAAGAAGAGCTGGGGTGGATTTCAAAAGACATGACATCCCCTTTCCCAAATAATTCAGCCATAATTTTGGGGAGACAGAGGGCCGCCATTTTGAAAATGGTGTCAATTCTATGATTGGTCACTTTTGGGAGATTCTATACCTTGGGAGGTAATGAGGGTGAAGAATTGAACTAAAATTAGGGCTAAACAGTTCCAGAGAAAACAGATGTGACCTGACCCTTTTCTTTGTTAGGTGATTGCAGTGGTTCTGAAACTCAGAGTCAGCATCACTTTGGGGGTTTAGAAACTCTTAGATTCCTCAGATTCTGATTCTGTAGGTCTGGTGGGGCCCGATTGTATGTCTATATGTGGCTCTGATGGCAATTTCCCTTCTTTCTGAGATTATCTATTTGGGAAAAAAGTTTTGGTCTCAGCACAGTTGCTTCCTGGCGCCTCTCCGCTAACCTGTGCGAAGGCTTCCTTTGCCTCTGATCACTGTTCCTCACCTTCCGGCTGGCAGTGGAGGGTGGACATGGGCACGATGCTCTTGGCTGCCAGACCTCAAATCCCCAGTGATTTCCCTCTGAGGAAATAGAGGTTTACCCCAGAACACAAACAACTCTGCCTTGAATATTATACATCACTGTATACTCTTTGGCCCATTGTTATGGGTTGAATTGTGTCCCACCAAAAAAGATATGTTGGAGTCCTAATCCCTTTGGAATGTGACCTTTTAGAATCTTTACAGAGGTAATGAGTTAAAATAAGGTCGTGAGGGTGGGCCCTAATCTACTATGACTGATACCTTTATAAGAAGAGGAAATGTGGGCACAGGTGCACATACAGGGAGAGCGCCATGTAAGCATGAAGGTGGCCAACTACAAGCCAAGTTGAGGAGCTTGGACCAGATTCTCCCTTGTGGCCCTTAGAGGGACCAATGCTGCTGACACCTTAGTCTTGGACTTGTAGATTAAGAACTAGGAGACAATAAATTTCTTTCGTTTAAGTCACCCAGCGTGCAGCACTGTGTTATGGTGGTCCTAGCAAATGAACGCATCCCCTGGCCTTAGGGATTTCCCTCCATGGGACACCTTTCTCTTCAGGCTCCATCCTCCTCTCCTGTCATCTGGTCTTTCTCTTTTCCCTCCCTCTTCCTCCCTTTTCTTTCGTTCTCTATCCTGTACCCCCAATTCCAGCTTATTGCTTACTTACAACAATTAGCTATTTCTGTGCTCCAGATCTTTTAATCTTGATCTCCAGAGGCTGTTCCCTTCTCACTCTTAATCTCAAGATGTTTTCCTAAACAGAAAGTTCCCTTCCCTAAGAGGAACTCTGGTGGCAGTTGTCAAGATAATGGCTTTTTCACCTGCTACAAGTAATTGTTTTTAAAGCTCTCGAGATGCTTCTGATGTGCAGTCGGGGTTGAGAACCACTGCTGCAAAGTGAATTGTCACTGCTGCTCACCCAGGAGGACCCTGGGCTTACACAGTACCGAGAACCTGTCATGCAAATGAAAATTCAAGTGATCAACTGGCATTTGTCAACTGAAGTTTGCATTCCTGTAATCCTTTTGCAAAAAAGGTACCTGCAGCAATAATATAAAATCTTCATTTGATACTAGCCTTGACGACTGTTTTGTACACAACTGTGTCCCCCACAAATTCGTATGTTGCAGCCCTGACCCTCAATTTGACTGTCTTTAGAGACAAGGCCTTTAAAGAGATGATTAAGTTAAAAGGAGGTCGTATGGGTGGGCCCTAATCCGATGTGACTAGTGTCCTTATAAGAAGAGGAGAGAAAGACACAGGCATAAGTGCACATAGAGAAAACCACATGAGGACACAGCGAGAAGGCAGCTGTCTGCAAGCCAAGGAGAGAGGCCTCAGGAGAAACCAACCCTGCTGACATCTTAGACTTCTGGCCTCCAAAATTGTGAGAAAATAAATATCTGTTGTTTAAGCCTTCAAGTCTGTGGTATTTTGCTATGGCAGCCCGAGCAGACTGATACAATAGCTGAATCCAAAGCGTTCTGCTGAGGTATAATGTAAATTTTTTTAAAGAATGATGTTTACAAGGGATTTTCACTCTGTAAGGGTAACAGGAATAATATTATGAAATGTTAACCTGACCCAGTTTTCATACCCCGGTAAGTCAGGCACTCCCAAGCCTTCTACCATGAATGCTAAGCCACAAACTGCAGGGGAGGGGAGGGGAGTGTCTGGAATAAAAAGGCCATTGATGGCCTTTGATTTTCAAAAGCTGACTTTGTTGACTCCATATTGAAATAATAGTTTTGAAAGCCAGGCTTTATGAGAGAGAAAATGTTTATTTTCTGAATTTTAAAAGCTCCCTTTATATACGGGGAGTTAGGGCTGGCATTTAGACATACAAGCCTTAGGTAGAGAGAACTCAGGTTATTTCATAAGGGAGGAGCCGACTGGACAGGAAGAGGAAGATAGGAAGTAAAATCATCAGACCTGTGTCCTGGCTTCTTCCCCTGAAAGAGGCTGTGTTAGAAACATCCAGGTCGTTTGAGGGAATCCCAGAGCAATGACTTTGTTCCTCACTTTTCCAGGTACAGACGGGAAAAATGCCAATCCCAGAGAGTTGCTGCATCCAACATGATGCCACCCAGGGGGTGAGTTACAAAGGGCCGAATGCAGGGCCTAGTTAGAGAGAGGATAGAGACAGTCCCACTCTGCACGTGTTTCTAGGCCCCTGTGTGGCATAGAAAAGGTCCTGATGGTCCTGTGTGCTCCTGGTGGAGAATGTAAGGTTAGCTGAGCAGAGCCAGGAGACCGCCTATGGGGCTGCCTGGGGCAGCTGTGACCCTACAGCAGAGGCTGTGGGAATGTAGGAGAATGTTGTCAAGATTCAGAGCATTTGCAAAGCCAGCGAGAGCCAGAGAGAGCCAAGATGGCAGAACTGGGAGGAGAGGCACAAGCAGTGTGCCCGTGACGAAGATGGACGAGAAACTTTGACTCTTGCATAAGGACCACACTGGGGTCTGAGAGTCTCCTCCGGGGCAAAGCTCCTGTAAGCTTTTCCCTACAACAACTGAAGGGCAAGTGGGGGTGGGAGCAGGGCAGAAATCCTGAAAGATGCAAGAGACTAAAGTAAACCAAAAAAAACAGTGTTAAACTGGAAAAGATGGAGATATATTTAGCTGGCAAGTCTGTACACCCTTCTTCTCCAACCTCTGCTCTTTTCCACTTCAAGGAAAAGCGGAGTAATGGTTATAGAAAGCAAAGGAGTAAACTTTTCTGGCCCCCTGAACGCATGGGACAGGGTTTTCAACCCACTACACCATGTGTGTGATTGCTGCTGACTTCTCTAGGACTTTGACTCACCCACTTTTGCCAGACGTCTCCGAACTTCTTTGTAGGTAAATAAAATCAAGAGAGAGGGTCGTTATTCCCTGGAGTCTTGATTTAAGACGGTTTATGCTCTGTGGTACGCAGTTGCTTCGCTCACTAATCATGTAATGTATCCTAATAATACCATGCGAGTACCATTTTGATTTTTTGTTTACTTATTTTAATGGGCTAACATAGGAGGTGGCAAACTTTTTCAAAGAACCAGATAGTAAATATTTTAGGCTTTGTGGGCCACTTGATTCCTGCTACAGCTCTTCAGTTTTGCTCTTGTAGCACAAAAGCAGCCATAGACAACATGTCAAGGCATGGATGTGGCTGAGTTCCAATAAAATTTTATTGCTGGACACCAAAATTTGAATTTTATATAATTTGCTCACGAGACAAAATCTTCTTCTTCTTTTCATTTTTTTCTCCCAACCATTTAAAAATGTAAAAACTCTTTTTCGTTGCAGGCTATACAAAAACAGTCAGTGGACTGGATTTGGCCTACAGGCTGTATTCTGCCAATTCCTGAGCTAATAAATATCTGCAAATATCTTATGTATGATATCTTATGTAAATATAAACGAATGCACTTTCCTTCATCCCTAATTTTTCAAAAGTAAGATGGCAGGATTTTCTTTTTGTAGGGGGAAAGGGGATGCAAAAATCTGTTATCAGCTTTGGTTTAAGCCTGAATATTTGATTAAAAAAATAAATCAGATATTGTTGGATTAGTGCAATTTCCTTTTTTTTGGTAAAGCCTGTTTTTGCCAATGGTGATGTTAGAAAATGCTATTGTGATGAGGAAATAATGAGATCATTTCAGTTATCACTGACACATGACGCCTGTGAGAGCAACCTTTACCAGCTGCCAGGCTTGGAGGATTTGAAAGAGGGAGGATGGATTCATTTCTCTGATGTTATTTAACCCCTTACGCTGCTGTTTGTAGCACGTGCACGTGTGTGTGTGTGAGAGAGAGGGAGAGGGAGAGAGAGAAGGTGTGTGGGGCATGTGAGGGGTGCCCTCTTTCCTACAGGCACCGATCCAGCCTTTGCTTTGCTTCAGATCTTCGTTGTGCAATCTGCAGCCCACCATTATTTACTGCTCATGCTCGGCCCGTAGCCTGCTCCACCAGAAGGAAAATTGGCTGCTGCGGTCAGTCATTAGAGACAAAGGTTGACAGCAGTATAGCCCTGGAGTTCCAATAAATTACAGAGATAAAAACTGAGGCACATCCACCTGCAGTGGCTGGGAAGGGAAAAGGGAGACAAGCAGGTCAAGAAGGGACAGGAAGATGTCATCGGCTAGGAGTGCTTGTCACAGTTCCCAACTCCCACTGAAACGCAGTCCTCTCCTCATACCCAAAGCTACCTCTTCCCTGAAAATGTGCTGAATAACAACTTTTTAGAGAGTGGGAGCTTTATTTTTTTTAAATGGGAAAAATAATAGTGCTTCCCCGGTCATCTAAAACCTCAACTACCTTTTTTCTGAAAATTAAAAAAAAACACCACTAAGATACTCATAAACATCTATATAAGAACTCACCAGAGTTTTTTAATAAAATGAAGCATTTTGAAGCCTCAATTACATAACAGTTAAGGAACTCATCAGTGGGTCTCTTTGTGGGATGCAGACAACATTGCTGAGCCATGTGACTTACAGTTACATCTTGCCCCTGCATCATGCGGCGCCGTGTACTGCAATCTAAGTCAATAATGAAATAACATGTCAAAAGCATTAAGGTTTCCATCTACCCTGGATCCAGGCTGTTGGCTCTCCCAGGTGCCCTGGGGAATCTAACATGGAAATCATGAAGGGCTTCGTCCCTGGGGGACGGTGGGAAGGTGACAGTTCTAAATCCTGTAACCCTCCCTCAGGGTGCTCACTGTGCTCACTGGCTCAGGCTTGCAAATTTTGTACAGTAGATTTCTGATTTAGATAGTGGATTTTGTAGAAAGTAGCATATTTCTTCAAGTTCTGATGAAGATACCTGTATCTATGACACAGAAAAAGACCATCACCTGCTAATCATCATAAACTAGTACTGACAATCAGCGTAATGCCTGAATTTGCAAGGAGTGTCTACTACAGACAAGGCCAAGGGAATCGCTTTGAAAGTAAATGAATGAATTACTCATCCTCAGTCTGCTGCCAGCTTGCAATAAGGGCTCATGCCTCTTAGTCCTCACCCTGGATCAAAAACTCAAGACTTGTGGGGCCAGCCTGGTGGTATAGTTAAGTTTGTACGCTCTGCTTCAGCAGCCCGGGGTTTGCAGGTTCGGATCCTGGGCATGGACCTGCACACTGCTTATCAAGCCATGCTGTGGTGGCATCTCATATATAACATAGAGCAAAATGGGCACTAATGTTAGCTCAGGGCTAATCTTCCTCACCAGAAAAATGACAAAACCCTCAAGACTTGAACCAAGCAAAGCATGGTGAAGCTGTCTCTATAGAGCTGCTCTTTGAGGCAGCCCACAGCATGATCACCATTCCACCCGCTCCATCCTCACCTCATATACTACAGTTCAAAATACACCCATACAGTGACTACAGCTCCCAGAGATGGACAGGAAGTGTGTGTGTGTGTGTGTGAGAGAGAGAGAGACAGAGACAGAGACAGAGAGAGACAGAGAATTGACCCTGGGGA